AAAGCTCATCTACACCCCCTCCCCCCTCCTCCCCTTCTGTTAAGTGTTCTAACACCCTATCATCATCCTGCACGCCCTAGGAACTTAGGTTACCAGAGGTGGTCTGCTAATGTTCAAAGAGGCCGGGGGTTTCAGGGGGGGGCTTGACCTAAAAAAAAAACATGGGGGGGGGCTTCAGGTAGTGCATGGTATGGTTACATTTCATTTTAAAAGGAAAAGGCTAGCCGTACTTTATGACGGCTAGACTGCCAGGTTAGCTGTCCTAGTTGTTGTTATCGATCCAGGCAGGCAAGCCGTACTTAATGAAGGCTAGACGGCATGGCTAATTGTACTTTATAATGATGGCTGGACTGACAAAAAGCAAAAGTACTGATGTAGATCTAAAAAAAAAATTAAGTTTGCAATACACCTAAAGTATTTGTATTTGAGATGAAACCAGAAGGTGCCTTACTGAAATGCATGTGTATTTCAAACCTGAATTCAGCTATTCGAAGCGTGGGAGAGCAATTCGAATGCCGTGTGATTTTTTTTTTTCAAAACAGACAATGGATTTTCATCTCATTTTTCTCAAATGTAGTAAGTTTGGAGCACATTATATATCTGAAATCATTTAGATTTTAAATATAGAAATACTCCTTATTTGATGGTTACGAGACAGAGTGATTAGTGGAGCCATCAAGAGATATATAAAATATCCCTCTTGAGAATATCCCTTATATTCACTCGTTACACCATAGCTCAAGCAAGGGCAGTTGACTCATGAAGCAAAACAAATATTTTTTTTTATTCTCATGAAGTTAACTGTTGCAATAAGCTCCCCTTCCCCAAGGCTATTCAAAATTCGAAGCACTATGAACGGTGACGTCATGTCATCACACTGCACTGTTTGCACCGAGGCAGCACGCATGCGCACAGTGACTGGCGCTGCAAAAGTAATGGACTGATCATATATAGAAGAAAACAAGTCGACCATGCTTCGAATAGCAGAAGTTAGGTCTGGGCTTATCGTATAATATAAAGAAAAACTATTCGATGGCTCTTCGAATAGCAGAAGTTTGATCTGGGCGTAGCGTATTGAAGAAAAAAAACATTCAACGATGATGTGAATAGCGGAAGTTAGGGATGGGCTTATCATATTTAAGAAAAACCATGCGACAGCGATGGGAATAGTTAAGGAATGTTGAATAGCGGAAGTTAGGTCTGGACCTATTATATACAAGACAAAAACATTCGACGTAGGTATTCGAATATCATGAATTGTGAGCTCATGCTTGGAGGCTTCGATTAATTTTTGTTTCCTCAAAATGGCACAGCACTACTAAGTGCGCCTAGACTGTCATAACCCTTTGAAAAAGTTCAAAATCCTGAAAAAAAGTGGGAAACCTGTGTGCCGTGGGTCCTCACATCGAAATCCGCTTTAAACTTGAAATAATGGAATAAATGGGGATTTACAGTACAGCATACACCTAACTCAAAGCATTAACCCTTTAAGCCCTTGCTACCGGTACACCTGTGGCTCATGATACTGCCCGAATGCCCAGCGGTGAGCGAGACCCCATCCCCGACCTGTCTTGTCTGAGACAAAGCGCGTACGGAAAACATCAGTTACTACACAAGACGTTATTGGTTATTTTGAAAATCTTTCCGAATTAGATGCTGGTAATGACAAGGTTGTGGTGGCGGCATCTTCGAAGCAGAAAGTCTGGGTTCGAGCTTCGATTCAGACATATTTTTTTTGCCCCCCTCCTGCCCACCCAGCAGTACCTGACTTCGAATTGGGGGAGTAAAAGCTGCATGGAAAGGAACTGGCCACCGTACCACAATATTATTATATGCCGAAGGCCCAGGAAGTTGTCTCACTAACAAGGCAATCCCCAATGTCCAGATCAGATGCAGGAACAACGTTACTTTTTAATGACAAGGACTACCCTGAGGGGGATCATGATTATGATTATGACGATTACGAATGTTGTAAATTTTTACTTTCACTCCCACACAGATGCACTGCTTTGGGGGTCAAACTGCAGTATTTTTTGCTGCAGATCACACATGCAGCCACTGAAACTGTTGCAAATCTATTATTTTCAAGAAAATGCCAAACCTAACTGCAAAACATCAAATTATGGGTCAGAACAGGAACCCCCCAGATTTATTTTTACTTCAGGGGGGCATGCCTGAAACCCGCCTGAGTGGTTCAGAGCGCGGAAATTACTACGCAATTAGGCTTAGTATGACCTAGTGCGATTAAAAACCATTCAATATTTCAAAAACTATTAATTTGCGACGGAAATGAAGTCAATATTCGTGTTCAGCGTATTAATACATAATAAAAAATGGACAACTAGTAGGTAAGTGTGTGATGGGAGGGAAAGTTAAAGAATACCCATGAATGTTAATAATATATCACTCATGAGCTCATGCAGAGGGGCACGGCAGCCTCAGGAGGTCAGGGCTCAAAGGGTTAAAATAAGGACCTCCTATTTTCATCAACACACACTCTGCCGCAAACCTATCAAAAAGGAGTACCCTATTTTGAATGTAGACCTTCAGAGTGGATCAGAGCAGGATCTTAGGGTTGACTTTTGTGTCGACCACTGTATTGGAAATAGTGGCAAGGGGCGCTTTTGTTACAAAAACTATTTCGGCAAACCAGGCAAAAATTTGCCACTTCCTTTGAAACTTATGATTTTAATTACTAGAAGTGTTAGATAACCTTCTGAGTTTTGGCAATCTTTATATTCACAGATTAAAATTGAAATGTGACGTTCCCTGTTTGAGATGATCAGTCTCCCGAAGTACCTTGCCGGGCAGAGTGCTGGACTTGTGAGTCCTTTGCTGTTCCAGCACAAAATCTTCTCATACTACACAGAGAGGGTAGAGTTGAGTCGACTGAAGGATGTACAACCTGTTCACAGCAGTGCGGTCAATGATCTGGATATTGACGTGACAGAGCACAGATAGTAAGAACATCAAGTTTTACAGCATGACATACTTTGACAGTTGAGTAAAGTGATGTGTTAACAGTGCCTCTACATTGGAAAAATTAATCTAACGCTAACCGGTGAAGATTATTAGAGGTTAAACTTGCTGGGAGTAACAAAAAAAATATTCCTTGAATAGTAGGTTGTATAGTATCAAAGTAATTAAAAGTGGAGCAAGTAATAGATTGTGTAGTATCAAAATAATTAGAAGTGAAGCCTGGCTCTTCAACGTTGAACTGGTTTTGGGTGATTTTTAAAACTCTCTTCTCTTTGTGGAGTGTACTACTAGTATTAATCTGTAAGACTGTTTCACAACTGATTTCAATTTAAAGGAAGCAGTTTACGTTTGTGTTGTTTTACTCATCTTGCCCCTTTCTTTCCATGCTTTTTATTATAATTTTAATCAATTTGATCAATGGCAGCTGGTTCAACTTGTTGATCATGTCCTTTATTAGGTTTACTGATGTATTTAAAATCAGACTGGTCTGTTCAAGTAAGAGGGTGGTCAGACGGAGTGTCTGGTGGGTAGTTTACTCTTAATTGTTTTTGTTCTGGTTCTTTGAAATTTATCCTCTGAGTCTGAACCAGAAAAAGTGCGTAGTTGGCAGGTTCTCTGGTGTGGTTGCTCCTTCTTCCAAATCAAACATCTAATGTCCTTATCTCTCCTCCCTCTTTTTGTGTTTGGCACTACACCTCTAAACTTCGGCACTTATATGACTTTATTGTGTTGCACAAAGCTTACTAAAACTAAACTTAACTGGAAAAAGACCCTGTACAAGAGTTTTATGTTTTTAATCATTAACGGATCAATGTTTATGGTGTTTTGACTTCATTTGCTGTTCATTGTGTCCAGTTTGTTGTCAGGAAGTGCTGATGGCTCCATCGCCATTCATGACCTTGAAAAAGTGACAGACGAGCCGCATGTGAATGGTGTGCTGGATGCGAAGACATACAAACTGGTATGCTCTGTATCCTCTGGCAACCGCAGTGCTCATCGCGCCAGCATCGAGACTGTCCAGTGGTTCCCGCTTGACACTGGAATCTTCACCTCCAGTGGAACGGACAGAACTCTCAAAGTCTGGGATGCTAATAGATTGAAGGTGATTTATCCTTCCACTTGTACCAACAACCGCCTTCACTTTCCTCACCCTTGTGTCTTTGCCTCCCTCTTTGTCTCTCACTCTATCCATCAGCTAATATAACTAATTAACAGTGGAGTCCACCTAAGCTGAAATCAGCGGACCGCCAGATTTTTTTCAGTTACCTCACTGCCAGGCATTTCTCGGCTGGGTAACTGAGGAATGTCAGGCTTTCGGGACCATTTTGAAAACTTCACTGTGAGCTTATTCTTTTGTGTACAGCATTGAACTTTTCCACAAACACTGACATTGAAACATACTCAACAAATCCACACAAAAATTTGTGATACCTTTACTGTGTGAAATTTGAGTTTGTGAATATGTGACAAAATCGTGAAAAAAACCTTTTATATATAACAGTTACGGGCGTGGTCCATTCAGTGGATATGTATGCCTTTATATCTTTGTCTCTGCAAGAAATAGATGTTGTATCAACTGACAAATGTACAAGAGTCACTATGAAAATATGTCTGACAAATTGTATATAACTGGAAAGTCAGGCAAGCCATCAGCCATCCTGAGCATCAACATCAGGGTGTGTGGTTGTGGGATGGGGCATGGCCACTGGGGGAGGGGTGCCACCATTTGAAGTTTGGTGTGTAGGCCTAGGAGGGTCTATGTCAGCCGTAGTCCTATCATTTGGGTCTGAGTCTACGTTGTGTGTTCTTTGACGTTTGCCTGATGGGCCTGAACTGGGACCTGGAAGCGTTGGATCATTGGTCTGAGCATGGGGAACACCTGATTCTAGATCTAGGCCTAGGTCTAGATAACAATTCTCATCTTCACTTGCGTCCGCACCTCTCCTATTTCCTTTTCTATACTCATTATCAACTCTGTATGATGGTTCTTCATCGCTATCATCTGCAAAAAGATCTAAATCTGACCCTTTATTGACGAATGGGTCCATCAATTCAAACGTTCCAACTTTGTTCAGACGCCATCGCCATCGTAACTGAGCGTTAGTAGTTTTTAGTGTGTTTCTGGTGGGTTCGTAAAAGTCCGATTTTTATGTAACATATTCAAAGGAAGTTATTGCAACAATGGGGAATGGAAACCAAACTGGCTTATGTCATATACTTTCGACTGCCAAGCCCAAAAAATGTCGCAGAATGTTTGAAAAATAGTAGTAAAGACCTACCAGATGGGTTTCGGGTTTGGCAGTTATCGGCCTACACAGATCACCCTGCAGGGTTCGGGCATGGCAGTGAGTGAGTTAAGCTGGGGTTTCGGTTCAGAGAGATTTCTCAAACAGAAGAGAAATATTCTGGGATTTTATATTCTTTCGGTTTATAGCTGTTTTCGGATTGACCATATTCGGTTTAAGTAGACTGCACTGTGTGTCAAAGTCTGAAATGGGGGCTCTCATGGCCTAGAGGTTAAGGTGTTTGCCTCTCATTCAAAGGTCCCGTGTTCGAATCCAAGTAGCGACCTAAAAATTTTCTTCTCTAAGTCTCCTTTCACCTCCTTTCCTGGTCTCCTGCAATGTTCTGTCGTCAGCTTTCGTCTCCACTTTCTGCCCCCACCCCCTCACCTCCTTTGCCACCTCATCTGGGCTCCTGACTCTTCTGCAGCCTTTGTACTGCTTCTCCTTGGCTCCTTCTTACTGCTTTCTTTCAGCCACATCTCTGATCTTCTAGAAGGAAAGATCTACACCTAGCCTTCTCGGACAAGGGCGAAAAAGTCACGGAGGGCCCGTGTTCAAGTTGCGCATGTTAAAGATCTCTTGGTGGTCTAAAATCAATAAGAGTAGGCTTCGGGCACCACCCGGACAAAATTCAAAATTTCCTACCAACTGAAAATGTTTGGTGTGTCCCGCACGCTCATGTGACCGTATGCAGTTGCGAGTGCTGTAAAACACTTACCAAAAAAAAAAAAGCTGAAATATCAGTTGCCCAGTGACTTATTCAGTGGCTATGCCTTGGAGCTCGGTCATCAAAAGTCATAACTGTGGCCCTGCTGTTTGAATGTTGAAGTTTATTTGAAATAAAAACTTGAGAGACCTCTTTATTCCCAGTGCTCTTTGCACTCTCACTTGTTACGGTAAGATATCTTCTTACATTGTAATGTGAAAACACAGGTGCAGAAAATGATGACTTGAAAAGTCAATCAGGCTCACTGTGCCAAGTTTTAAAGAAAAAGCAAATGTGTCACAAAATTTGCACCCAATTACATTTTTGGTCCTCAGCCTGCAGAAGAGTACTCTTTCAACGGGGTGGTCCATTGTCACCAGATGTCACAGATAGCCTCTAAGCACAACCTGGTTGCCGTGGGGACGGACAGTTCAGTGGTCAAGCTTGTTGACCCTCGGGCAGGTTCGGCCACTCACTCACTGCGTGGACACAAGGAAGGTGCTGTACGGGCAGTGTGCTGGTCCAACCGCGATGAGTTTCAGCTGGCCACTGGCGGGTGAGTGGGAGATTCTGTTAAATGAACCAATCAGGTAGGTAAATAAGGGATATTTTATTTAGATCCAAAATTGGTCAGGGAAAATTAACCCATGGTGCACATATAGCTGAATGAAATTGTCTTTACAAAGTCATAATTATAGTAAATACAAAGATAAACTCAGAGTATAAAGCAAGGAATAAAGTAACTGTTGAATAAGAAACAAAACAAAAAAAGTCATCTCCTAAGCTGACCTTATGCAGTTGCGAGCACCGTAAAAATCTTACTAAAACTAAAAGTTAACCAGGTAAATCACAGAGTTGGACCCCCCATTTGCCTTGAAAGAGGACTTCTAATCATAAACAGGATAAAGAGTGCTGAGACTTGTATAGTATAAATAATAGATCGTCATTCAAAGGCAGAATATGTCCTTTGATGAGTCTTTACTAAGTCATGAAAATGTTGTTTTTATGTTTGAAAGGTTTTTGGTTTAGTTCCTTGTTCTTGAGTTTCCTTCCTGTGGACACTGGTTGAAATAGATCCCCACACTTGTTTTTCACAGGATTGATAACTTTGCCATTCTGTGGGATGTTCGCACTGCCAAAGGATTTCTTATGAAGTTGCAGAACCACGGTAAAAAGCGTTCGGGATACTCAAGAGGTAATTGTCTTCCATGTTTCATTCTCTATGGCAGCTTTGAGCCATTTTAGTCATTTGGTAAGAATGGCTCGGGGTTCGTTGCGCATGTGTAAGTTTTGCAGTCTAAATAAAAACAGACATCTTTGTCAACCAGTATTTCATTTCTTCTCCTGACTTTGATCTTTGAGCCAAGACGCAGTGTTCTTGGAAGGAAGCAAAGAGCTACCGTACCTGGTTGAAGGTCTTCCTGTACGTCTCCTTCATGCAATGATGCGTCTTATGGGACACTGGTTATGTTATTAGTCTCCTTATTTTGATGGGTCACATTAATTGTTACTTTTTGGGGAGCACTATAGGTAACCCTTAGGCTCTGTCAATCTGCCCATCTATCGGTTGGGCTTTTTATCCTCTATTTTGAGAAAAAGTTGACAAATGTAAGGTGTATAGGACAACAAATAAGCTGATCGGGATCTCCAAGAGTAATGTTGATTTTGGAAAAACCAATTTTATGCCAAAGCAAGTCAGATTTGAAGACTTAAAAAAAGCTACGATTTTCACCTGTGTCTCTTTATGAGATTGTTTGTTCCTCATTTTCTCTATTGTTTTATTTTCTGTTTGCTTCACAGATACCACACATGATGGCTCTGTAAACGGCTTACATTACATAGCAAACGGCCACACGCTAGCAACAGTTGGCACGGACCAGAAACTTTTTGTGTGGGACACATACACAGGCAAAAAGCTTCCGGCTAGGTACCCTCCGATTAGCCACATCAAAAAGCGATCGGTGAAGTTTTGTGTGACAAGCGCAGGCTCAGAAAATTTTGCATTTGTGCCAACAGGCTCCAGTATTACGACGTTTAACATAGACACCGTCGGGAAAGCCAGACATTTGTATGGCCACTACAACAGTGTGAACTGCTGTGTGTATCATGAGCAGGGATGCCAGCTCCTCAGTGGTGGGAATGACCATAAGATTCTGGCCTGGACCATCAGGGGAGACAGAGACTACGGGGAACATGTGAGCGAACAGCGACATTTGGTGCAGAAGTCACTTCGGACCAGTCATTCGGTCAACGAAGAAGTGCAAGAAACTCCAGTCTCTGAGGCTGTTCTTCAAACACTGGATACATGGAGTGATGATGAGGAGGAAGAGGAAGAAGAGGGAAATAACAGTTCTGGGAGATGACACAGGGATAACCATTTTGAAGGGGGGGGGGAGTGCCAGAGAGAGAGAGAGAGAGTGCCAGAAAGAGAAAGAGCAAGCGAGAGAGAGAGAGAGAGAGAGACATGACCTATATTATATCTGCTGGTTCATTTTCTTTTGTGTGAACATGCCATACTGAGGTTCCTGTGTCTCAGCAGTTGTGCATAGACCACAACAGTGTGGATGTAATCCGTCCTGCAGGTCAGTGATTGAACAGTCTAATTTTTGTTAAACATGTGTTTCTTCCTTGTTTGTTTTTTTATGTTTGTCTTTTGAAACTTTGCAGATGAAGTTGCACCAGGTCCTGTAGAGCTCTGATTAAGTGGAATCTCTCAATGAGTAAGAATAATGTCAATAGATAACTTGATCTGCAGTCATTTTGCTAATTCCTTGACCCGGCAACATTTTCATTTGATCAGTTTGCTCTTTTAATCTCCTCTGTGAGACAAGAGAGAGGAAAGGTTTTGATTTCACTTACATGTACACTAAAAAGGTTTTTATACTCTTTATCATCACTATAAAGTCTATGATAAAGTTTGTGAGGCAAGGAGCCTCGCTGTGGCACACAGAAGACTTGAGCTTGATTCCCAAATGGGGAGAATTTTGATCAGGTACCTCAATCTTTTTGCGTAGGTAGTTATCCTTCTCAGACCAGTTTAGTCCTGACAGGTATGGTTGAAGCTCACCTTCTAAATACCCCAAAATTGTGTCAGTGGGGTCGTAGAAACATGCACATTTAAAAAATAAAAAATTTACTTTGAATAGAAATTGCTTAGTTAAAACACTTTGATCATGTATATTCCTCATCGGAATTACCATTAACACCTCTTCTGTGTTGCACTTGCAATGAATCATTGCAGTTATGTTCATTTACATATTTTGAAACAGTTCTTGAAATATGCCATGTATGGATAGTGTGCAATGCTAACCATGTACAGCATTTTCGGCAAATTTCACAGGATTGAAAAAATTGTATTTAGGGTAAGCTATTCCAATTCCGAACACTTCCTGCTCCTTGTGGATTCAAACGAACGGGAGTCTTCAGTGTGCGTGATACCTTTTCTATATTTAACAATGTGACGTAAAACGCCATCTCCGGGATCGCTTTTTACTGGTTACAATGCATTAGAGTTCTGGGTAAAGCCTGAACTGCAGCTATCTTTTAAAACACCAATCCTGCATCGATCCGATTCCGAATACGCTCGTTTCAAATCTGAACATGGTGCTGACTGCGTTCGTTTCAAATCCGAACAGGAAATTGATTCGAATCTGAGTGGAATCCATGCATGTCAGAGAGGCGTAATGCTCTCACTCTCTCTCTCTCTCTTTCTCTCTGTCTCTCTCTTTGTCTCTCTCTCTGTCTCTCTCTCTCTCTCTCTCTCTCTCTCTCTCTCTCTCTCTCTCTCTCTCTGTGTGTCTATGTTTTTGTGTGTGCTGGTGTCTGTCTGTCTGTGTTTTTGATGAATGCGTGCAATAGGACCAACCATGAATATAAGTCAAGTAAGGCGAAAATGTTTATTAAAAACTGTGACAAATTACGATTTCTTTAAATAAAACTCATGTATCCTTGGGCTTGGTTCTTTTGACTTTTCCACCTTTCCCCTGTTGTTTGGCTTTCATCTTTTCCTCATTCTTTTGTTCTCTAATCCTTTTCTTCAGCAAGCTCCTTCTCTCTCTGCTTTTGTCTTTTCTCTTCCATTACTTCAGCGCCTGACAAAAGTCTGTGTGACGACAACATTTTGCGTTTCGGTGCATTTGTTCGAGGTTATGGTGTTGAGGTTGCAAAAACTGAGTTCACAGTGAAATTCCAGTCCTGAGACGGTAATTCAGTCATGGGTGAAAGTTCAAGATCTTCAGGAATCTCGTCAACATCCTTGGCCTATGCCACAGATGTCCATGGCTTGAGCCAATAAGTCATGGTCATTTTCATCTTGCAGAATGCTCATTGTTGAGCTAGAAGTTGAAGGCCCTAGAGGCTCAAGGGAAGAGGGATCTTGGACAACGTCGCTTGACCTGCTTGGTTGAGGTTTAATAACAACTTGGATATATTCAGTTCTGAATCTGAAGAATGTACAGGAGGCTCTTCTCTGTATGATGTAACCTGGGTGTTGTTGAATGTTGAAGGACCAGACTCATTTGCAGGGGGAGGTTCGTCTAAGGGTCTTGACAAAGCAGTGGCTGGCAAGTAACTATCATCTGAAATGACTGCTGGATTTCTGGGGTGAATGCCAGTGGTCGCAAAAGCTTTTTTTATCATGTCACAATCATTGAATACCTTACTCACCTCAGCCCACTTCCAGTCTACATTTGTACTAAAACCTGTCCTTAAAGAAAGTTGCAAGAGGCGTATAGCTAAAAAAATGTTATGGAATACATTGTTTGTATGCTCATTGCAATCAAAGTAACCAACATGAGTTTTGTTAGATCAAAAACAAAAGTAAATGTGAATGTCAACAAAAAAACTGGACTGTGCCCAAGTAAATGGCATGTATGAAATATAGAAATCTATTGACATAGATTGTCAAAAAAATGCTCGTTGGAAATGTCTCTATTCAGGATACAAAGTAGACTAGGTTTAGATACAAAAGGAAAATTTCAGTTGAAAAAGTCAATATCCGCAAAGTGGTTGTTTTTCAGGAATAAAAGGGGTTTGATTGTTTCTTCAGACTGAGACTTGCGCCTACAGTTAATGAGCAATTTGTAGAGAGAGAAGCTTCTTTCCACGTCTACTGATGTGCATTTATGGAAAAAATGCACTGCAACGCTCGGCTACTCGCTTCACTACCTTTTTGTGCTTGTCCATGTCCCGATGCTTTTGGATTGAGGACTTCCTCAAGTGGTCCACAACCAGGTTGCATGGAGTACAAAACAGTTTGTCCCCTGACACATGCGTCAGATCTGAAGGAAATACTTTAAATGCATGAAATTGCAAGACATTTTTTCCGTCGTTGGTCCCAACAGAATCTTGGATTTTATGAAGGCCATTGGCCTTTATGGCAAATTATTATTTGAAACATATTTGTTTTAAAAAAATTTGTTATTTATAAGAGTTGTTTTAAAATGAAAATACATATATTTACTTACACAGAATTTTAATATTTCAGCATTTAAAATCTAATGTTTGGTTGACCAACCGTGCAGTGAACTGTTGTGAATGCAACCAACTTGTGTTTCGCGCACTCATACGACCTTATGCAGTTGCGAGCGCTGTAAAACCCTATACTAAACTAAACATGAGTGGATTGCAGGAGACCAGATTTTGATTCCCGAGTAGGGAGAAAATTGTTATCGAGTATCTCTGTCTTTTTGCTTGGATTTTCTATCCTTCTCAGCCAGGGTTGGCCCTGACAGACAGAGTCTGAAGCCCACCTCTTATATTTTCTAAAATTGTTAAAAACACCTATAAATTTTTAAAAATCCATCAGAGTACCGGTAGATGATAATATATTTGTCAATGTTCCGTCTGGGTACTAAGGAATTTGAACAGGCAAGATGCAAATTCTCGTGCTGCGAGGCTGCTTTCTGCTTTGTGTCACTCATAGAACTTTGTGTAGTGCATTTTGTAGTCAAAGACTGTAAAGTTGTGGACGTTCAGTAATACAGTGCTGATCCGCTGATGAATGGGCACAGCAAAACACACTGCAGATCAGTTTTAATAAGTATAGGTTGGGGTTGATGTAACAACTAGCCATCTACATGGCAAGAACGGTTGATTTAACATATCTAGCCATCTACGTGGCTAGAACGAACTACAAACTCCTCTTCGTACAATTGTCAGTCCAGTACTTCTATCTCTTTACTGTTACATTGCTCATTCTCCTCTTCTTCAGCTGGATCTGAATCTGATGCAGACTCATCAGACAGCTCTGCTTCTTCCTGTGCACTGAGTCATCTCCGCTGTGCAGTTGTTTTTTTCCGTAGAGGTTCTGCTGTTGTGTCTATGTAATGGTAATCAAACCCTAAATGATTGTGTAAGGTAGCATACAGGGTTTACAGATTGCCTGTGAGACGAAGATCATATGCATGCATGTAATATTTTCGAAATCTCATATCAACCTTTAGTCTCTGAAGTGGCCTCGGTCCTCTCATCAGCCTGTCTAAATCTTCTATGGTGTTGCTTAAACCACCTTGACTCAGAAGGTCAGTCAGGAGAGCAGCTTGCCTGTCTTTGTCCTGAATTTCTTTTTCTTCTTTCTGTTTATCATTGGCTTGAATTTTTCGCTTTATGGTCTCCCTGACTTCCTTCACAGCAGCTTTGTTTTGTTTTTCTTTCAACTGCTTTCCAATTACATGCTTATTGGCAGACTCCATATTATATTCCTGTGAGCATCTGGGGTTTTAGCATTGAGTATAATATTATAATAATAATATATAACATTTATATAGCGCATTTCCAAAAAAGTAGCTCAATGCGCTTTACATTGGAATACCCATTTTTTTCAAAATCTTTCTTACTACTTCCTTTCTTCTCATGCAATATATATATTAATGCACACACACACACACACACACGCACACACACACGCACGCACGCACACACACACACACACAGAGACTATTTTCATCCAGACATAGGAACAGAACAACTGTAATGAAAAATAACGTTATAAGCTTATGAAGGATAGGCCTGTAGGAACAGAAAATGTTTAAGATGTCTTTTGAAGCTATCAAGTGTTTTCATTTGTCTTAGTTTCATGGGTAATCTGTTCCACATAAATGGACCAAGATATGAGAAAGATCTCTCTCCATATGATTTGTATGATTTTACAGGTGTCACAAGTAGGGTGTTATCGTTTGATGATCTTAGGTTTCTCTGTGGCTTATATATACTGATAACTTCTTGTAGATAAAAAGGAGCAGTTTTATTTTTACACATTTGAAACACATGACGCAGATTTTAAATATTATTCTTTCTTTTACAGGGAGCCAATGCAGTTCTTTTAATAATGGAGTGACATGGTCTCGTTTTTTAGATCTTGTTATCAGTCTAGCGGCATTGTTTTGAATTACTTGTAAACGATTCAAATATTTGTTGTTCAGACCTGCTAGGAATGAGTTACAATAGTCTAATCTAGATAGGATAAGAGATGTTACAAGTGTTTTTGTGGTCTCTTCGTTTAAGTACTTTCGAACAAGGCCTATCCTTCTCAGCTGAAAATAAAGGGATTTGGACAGAGATCCTACAAACGGGCCCATTGATAGTGGTGGTCAATATGTACACCGAGATTCTTGACAACTTCTTTACTAGATGTCATATGCCCATATAAATCAAAGTTGACACTTTCCAGATCTTTATTTAATCGTGGATTTTTTATAAGAATGACGTCTGTCTTTTCTTCGTTTAGTTTCAATTTGTTTACTGTCGTCCACTTTTTTAATTTCATAGAAACATTGTTTAGTGATAGAAATCATGTTTGGCAGATCTTGAATGGTGCCATTAACATACATTTGGGAAACATCGGCATAAAAAGGATAATTCAATCCATGATTTTGTAAAATGCTTGCTAAGGGCTGTGTATATATAGTGTAAAGAGCACTGGTCCAAGAACGGACCCCTGTGGAACTCCTTAATCGAGCCTGACCTGCTTTGAAAAGCTATTTTTAATTTGCACAGACTGAACTCTTTCTAGTAAATATGACTTAAACCATGAAAGCACAGTACCCGATAAGCCAAATGAGCGCTCAAGTCTTGTGAGTAGAATAGCATGGTCAATTGTGTCAAAAGCTGCGGACAGATCCAAAAGAGTTAAATGACATGTTTTT